CACCTCATGCCATAGCAGGAGGTGGACACACTCCAGGTCTTCCTGGGGGAAAAGTCACATTAATTTCAGTGAGACAGGATCTGACCTTAGAGAAGATCCTAATATGCCGCTCTAGCAAGTGGTTCTCTAATACTGTTTTAAAATAGATTTACCTGGTCCATACCAAACAGGCAAGCCATGTTAGCAGAAACTGCACTGAAATCTGATATTATGGATGGACATGGATGGGTAAGGTTCCCCTGGATATGGAGCCAAAGCAGTTATTGTAATTCACACGCCAACTTGCCATCTGTGAGAAACTGATGTTTCCTATCCTTTGCCTGATGAATCCCAAAGAGAGGGAGTTTGTTTCTATTCTAGTTCCAGGGTAATGGGAGAGTCACCCATCTTGTCCATTTCAAGTAAGGAAACCTCTGGTATTCCACACTCCTAACAATAGGTGTCTTAGTTAAAATTTCTCAACAAGCAAGACAGTATTTTATTATGCTTCTTTGCATCTAGTCATTAAATGGAGTCATGCATTATGAAAGACATGCCCTGCCTAAAGATGAACACAGCAGATTCACGGTGCAGAGTATTTGGTTTGTGTTAGGCATCTATCCTGATTGTTAAAAACCCAGTAAGCTGGTAGCACAGAGACAAACAAGTACAGCTGGCAGACTAGGTAGGAACATTTTCAGCAGGGTGGGATGATCTCTCTGCTATTTGTTTTTGGTAAGTTCATTCCTGAACAGCCCAAACTGAAGGCATAACAAGAGGAATGTGTGAGAAGTTCAGGGTTGTTTTGAGTACACTGTGAATTTTTTATTTAAGTAAGAGGCAATTCAATTCGATATCAGACATTTTAAACGGTTTCTGGTGTTCTAAAAATATTTTGATGAAGGAAACAAACTTGGTATTAGCACAAAATGAGTGCCTTCTAGGGAATATCTACCGCCTACACTTTCAGAGTGGCATTGTGATTTAGTTACACAAAGCCCTGTGTCAAAGTCAATGAGAATCACATGACTAGAACCTCAAGCAGACCTTAAACATTTAGGGGGAAACATGACTTCAAACCCCAAGAGGCAGGTAATTCACAGAGAAGGCTACAGTGCTCAAGCAAGGTAGCATGTGGTCACAGGATTATTCTTAGCATGGTTAGCAGTATTATCTTTGTTAAAAGAAACAGCTATCCAACAGATGCTCTGAGGTCAGCAGCTCCTTCTGCCCCAAGCTCATGGCAATAAAATCCATTAATTAATGCAAGATGTTATTTATTAACAATTAACAGACTTGACTTGAATCAGTGCAGCCATGCATGCCACATAGCCCTTGTTCCCCTACATGGCTTCTGCACATCTCTGCTGCAGGCACAAGTGGCAGGGAGAACAAGGGCTATGTGCCTAGTACTCCTCTCTCCTGACAGAGGTGGACCACAATTTACATTCTGTTCTACAAATGTGGTTCTAGTCTAAAAAATAACTTTACAGGAAGAAGCAGCCTTCTTCCTACTTTGTCTCCATAACAAATTTGCTTGGACTCTGGGAGCCAAGTGGGTCCTTTACCTCATGCATCACCGCTACCAAGAGATTCTGCAGGTCAAAACTATGCCCGCAAGGAGCAAAGATTAGGCTCTCCTAGGCACTGCTCTGGCAAGGGAAGTCCCTGTGGCTAGCAGTGCATCCACTGGCTGCAGGAAATTGCAGCATTAGAGGTACATCATTGGTATTGTTCTGAGATGGTAGGGGAAAGGACAGTTGTATATCAGTGTATGGCCAACTGGCCAGAGCCACTATAAATGGACCCTATTACATATTAAGCTGTCTGTCACTAACACTTACTATTAGTTGCACCAACCTAATCAGCTGTGCATACAGAAGAAGAGAATGCTGATGTAGGTGTACTCAGCTAGCAGCATTTGACCTACTACTTATCTAGAGTTGTCACCAATCTACAGAACTGTAAGACAGTATCTCTATTTTTTTTTGGACAGTGACAAGCAAAAGGAGAGAGACACGCACAGACATGAGATTACAGAAAGTGCTTACTTCTCCAATGAAAAGCAAACAGGCACTGTCCCCTTAATCCAACAGATAGTGAAAATAATCAATAGCACACAATAGGGGTAAATTAGTTGACTGGGGCTAATTTTTGGTGCAGTGCACAGGGATTTAGCCACATGATGCCCATTAACCTTAGTGGGCAATGTGCTGTTAAATCCACCTATGGAGGTGGCCCTGTGACGTCAGGCAGATTCATACAGCAATTTTTGTCTCCCATCCAGGGAAAAGTGGTAATCTTTCAGAGGGGTCTGTTCTTTTTTGCCACTACAAGTTGCACATTAGTGAATCTGTTACATGTAAAATGTTGAGCAGGAATGCATGGTTAAGCAATCTATTATGATAAAATGAGAGCATGTTAAAGCACACCTGGACTAACAAAATATTGCTTCTGATCTTTCAGGCACTTTATAAATGCTGACTGGGTTATTAAAATTTATTGATCTGAAACAGAGCATGAAGGTTACATTTACTAGGGTGGTGTCTGAGTCCCGGTAAAACGGATTATCACGCTGTGCGGCTGTGTCAAATGGTTTGCGAACGCAGAATTGATTGAAGAAAAGGAATCTTGGCATTTTGTATCTTTCTAACAGCACATCATTTGCCTTTCAGGCAAACACCTCGCTCTCTCATTTGACCTGGGCACCCTTGTTCCAGATTAGTGGAGATTTGAACTTTAGGATGATATATTGGTCTCTTAATTTTAAAGATTAATTTGTAAAGCCTAAGAATCAATTTCCTAAGTATCTCTTCATTTTTCACCTCCAGGATAACAAAGTTGTTTGCCTAGATATCTTTCCCCACCCACTCTTTACCCCTCAATTATAGCCCTTTTCCTTTTCATTCCTCCCACTACTGTGAACTATACAGATGGGAAGTAGTTTGTCAACAATTCATTCTCCCCATCATCCCCGAAAGATACTAAATAAAGCACCAATCCAACTGATCAGCCACATGTTTCCATTCTATCTGGTGGCTTCTCCTCCACAGAACAGTGGTTCTAGATAAATTAGAGGGAGGGAGGGTAGGCAGAGAACATGAAACCCAAGTTTAATCTAATCCTGAAATGAGGGGTGAGGATCCCCTGCTCTTGCAGATTTATCATTCATGTTCTTTAATTTACCAAATGAATCCCAAATTTACTGACAGTGCTCACTTTCAGAACTCTCCTGTAACTAGGGTACCAGCTATATGATCCTGAATAAAATCACAAGCTGCTTACATGCTAAATATAGTGAAGTGCATAGAAGTCACAGCTCAGGATTGTCACATAATATAAAATGTTAACATGGCAATTACAGTGTTGGTAATCAAATATGACTCTCTCCTACACAGCATCATTGTGGCCTTTTATCAGTGGCTCATATTAATATAGTGCCTCTTGTGCAGCTAAGTTTGTTTTCATAGAATCAGAGGAGGAAGAGAGGGAAAAGAGATCCAAGTGTAGCCTCTGCGCACAGTGGAGATTTCTTGATGGAGGATGTCCTAGACTTTTGAGGCCCAATTCCACACTGCCTTGCATGTTATGCATTTGTTTTACTGTTGCTTTATAAAATATCAGGGTTGGAAGGGACCTCAGGAGGTCATCTAATCCAACCCCCTGCTCAAAGCAGGACCAATCCCCAGACAGATTTTTGCCCCAGATCCCTAAATGGCCCCCTCAAAGATTGAACTCACAACCCTGGGTTTAGCCGGCTAATGCTCAAACCACTGAGCTAGCCCTCCCTCCGGAGGGATATAATATAGTTATACAGATGTCAATGCTACCAAATCAAAATTCTCCCCTCACGCCTCTGGGAACATTTTAGACCCACTTTGCCCAGGTGCAAGTGACTACCCACCTTGCAAGGCTGTGGAGAATCAGGCCCTCAGTGCGTGCTGGAGCTAGAAAACCCTTGCAGCCTATGGTAACTAAGAACTAGCTTCACTCAGTCCAGTCCCCCTCAACTGGAAGAATGACTGGGGCCAGAGGGGGAACCTCTAAGGGTCATGGATTGTACTTCCTTTGTCCTGTATTGACTATGACACTGTACATTAGTTGACACTGTGCAAATGCAGTGTTTGATTTTTGCATTCGTGTTCTTGTTGAGAGTCTCAGCAAGGCAGTTAGGGAGTGACTAACTAGAGGCTCTGACCAGCTGTTACCCCTTCTCGGGTAGGATTAAAGCAGACTGGTGGGGCAGAGTATAACTGTGCACTCATCGTGCTATACCTATCCTATGGATAAACAGCCAACTTCAGCTGGGAGGACCATTAATCAGAACCTTTCACTTGTACTACGTCAATATGAATGCATCTATTCAAGAGCACCTCCACTTCGCAAACTGTATCTCAGTCCCCTGAGTGTCGATAATCTTTCTCAATTATAGAGCTATTCCCTACTCCTCCCCAGGCTCCTGCATCCCTCTCTGTCAGACCCACAGCTGCTATAAAGAAAAAGCTGGAGCATGGGAATATGAGACAGGTGCTTGTGCTGACACCATAAGGAGGACACAAGAGAGGCTCAGAAATATTTTTTCTATAGAGAACAAATAGCCAGCTAGAGAGAGAAATGTGTGTGTGTTAGAGGGTGGATGTTATCACTTCTAGGCCTCCTCTGAAGAGTAACTAGAACTAGTCCAGACCCGCTTACCTTAGGGTTAGCTGAGAGAGAGGGAAGGAAGATGGACCCTGTGGTAGGAGCGTCTGTCACAGAAGAAAGGATAGACCATCAAACTGACTGCCCTGTTAGGTATCCACTTAACAACTGTTATAGAGAGAGGCAGGAACCAGTTAGTTCTCTAAGCCACTCAGATACTGAGTAGCATTAGGTGATTAATTCCCAGTGTGAAGCTTCCCCACCCACTTGCTATATCACTGTCACCCTGGCTTCCCAGGGGAGCTCATCTGAGAGGTGGCACTCTGAACATTTTTAATTTTCAGTGCACTTATATGCAGTGTTATTTGTTCTGTTTTCAGATTGATAAGTATGCTCAGCAGGATCTGAAAAAAGGGCTTCATTTGTATGGGACAGATGGAAATATTGGCCTAACTAATGCATGGAGCATCATTCAAACAGATGTAAGTCTAAAGGTTTTTTGTTTTGTTTTTCCTCTTAATTTATTTCTGGTCTCTTCAGAGGTCTCTTCTGGGATTACATATTCATGTGCTACCAACAATACCATGTCTCTCTTTATTTCTTGTCTGACCTTCCCCTGGGCTGGTGGAAGGATGTTTCACGCCCTAGGCGAAACTTCCACCTTGCGCCCCCCCCCCCCGTCCCCGAGCCCCCGCCCTGAGGCGTCCCCCCCTGTGGCAGCTCCCCCACTCCGCCCTGAGGCGCCCCCCCTGTGGCAGTTCCCCAGCCCCCACCCTGAGGCACCCCCCCCTCCCCTGCCCCAGCTCACCCCTGCCCCACCTCCTCCCCGAGCACGCCGTGGCTGCTTCACTTCTCCCGCCTCCCAGGCTTGTGGCGCCTAAGCTGATTGGCGCCACAAGCCTGGGAGGCGGGAGAAGTGAAGCAGCCACGGCGTGCTCGGGGAGGAGGTGGGGCAGGGGTGAGCTGGGGCGGGGAGTTCCCCTGTGTGCCGCCTCCCCCCCCCCCCTGCAGGCGCCCCCCCCCGCGCTCCACTGCCCCAGCTCCCTCCGCCTAAATGCCGGCGGTGACCGGGGCGGCCGAAGATCCGGCCGCTGCAGTTGCTGCCGAAGAAAATGGCGCCCCCCAAATCCTAGCGCCCTAGGCGACCGCCTAGGTCGCCTAAATGGTTGCACCGTCCCTGACCCTCCCCTCCAGCTAGACTTTTCCACACCCACAGACAAACCAACCCACCTGGTCACAATATCCAGTGGATCCCCTCACTCACACAGTGCTAGTTTCTGTGCAGACTCCATTATGCCTTGTTTTGAGTGTGGCCTCTTAACAGACTCTTCCAATTATCTTACATGAAGAGCATGTTTGCATCAGTTCCAATGAGGTTTGAACTCAACCCATAACAAGGTTTAACCCAATGTATAATAGTACAGAGGAGCGGCACATGAAAGGTAATTCGCTTCTGCTTTTCCAAGATGAACTAGGAAGGATTTGCAGTCATTTTCCAGAGGGTGGGACCCCCTTTTTATTCTTAAGTTCATTTCCCCTTTAGCAGCAACACTATGGCCATTACTTCATCATGGAAGGGCCCTGATGCCATTTCTTCCAAAGTCACTCATGCCACAGCTGGATCGTTGTGCAAAAAAGGTAGATCGGTAGATGAGCACAGCCATTGTTCTGCCCTGCTTTTCTTCCCCACTCTCTCATGTAGCTCTCCCCCAAATTGTCCTCCAGAGAAGCTGGCCAGGAAATAGGTGTGACTAGCCTCCCCTCCCCCATGTGGCTGCTGTACTTTACTGCAGCACTCTCTGAGTGGCCAAAGGGGAGCACCAACTCCAAGGATATCCCCCACAATTATGTAAGCTATCCAAACTGACAGATGGGCTATCACATTTTTTTTCCTTTTGCTATCCAACCAGACTACCCTGGGATAAATCATCCTCTTCACCCTTGACTTCCCTTGGTGGAATCTGGGTTGAAATCTTGAATTATGCCTTTTGGTTTGGTCCCAGTCTAGACTCACAGATGGGTCACCCTATACAACACAAGTCATAACATATGCTACACTGTTCAGGAAGGACCTCTAGGACTAGAACAATTAAGGATCATTGGCAGGGCCCAGAACTGGGATACCAGAGGATGCACAGGTTAGAGTTAAAGTGTGTTGTCAATGTTGCATAGGGACCAAGTTCTAGACACCAGAGGATGATACAAATTAGGATCAAGGTGCATTGACAGAGCATCTCAGGAGTGGGATAGTCGTGAGTGCTATGGATTGGCCTTGGCTGAACTGTGTGTGAAAAAGGGTAGAACAACTCCAGCAAACAGTCTCTCATTTAGCCAGTGCTTTATATCTCTGGCTTTCATGAGCACTAAAATTCTCATTCACATTCTGAGGAGGAAAGGTAGAAGAGATAAAAATCAAAGTTGAGTATGTGCAATTTCTAAAAGTTTGCTGCCTGCAATCACAGTACCTAGATCATGAATGTCTATATTACTAAATGTCATATACAATTTCAAGTTGGAATGTTGTGGAACTTTGAAGCCACTCATCTTTAAAAAAAAAATACAATAGAGCAGGTTTCATTGCAGTAACCATTTCATTTGCTATTCATTTTTCCTGGTGGTAACAGCACATACAGAAAATAAATATAATTTCACTCTATTGCTGAGAATAAAATGTTTGGTTACAAACAGTTCACTGACTTGTGATTGGAAAAAAAATACTACCAAGAAACAACAGATATGGAAAAAATAGAAATTGATTTTCTTGCCAGTGTGATTTTTCCCTGAATATGTCTTTAGTTTTCTCTTCCCTGATGCCAAGAATTGAATGTGGGAAGGTCGTCCTGTTACAGCTACAAATGTTTCCGTGCTACATGTCTGCTATCATTTCACTTTGAGACTCTGTAATGACCAAATAAAGACTGAGTATTGAATGCTCATAAGGTAAATTTATCTTCAGTTGCCAGCAACGTTCAGTAGGCAGACTAGACTGTATGAAATACAGTAGAACCTGAGAGTTCTGAACACCAAAGTTATGAACTGACCAGGCAACCACACACCTCATTTGGAACTGGCAGTGCACAATCAGGCATCAGGAGCGACCAAAAAAAAGAAAGAAACAAACAAACAAAGAAAAAAACAAATACAGTACAATATTATGTTAAACATAAACTACTAAAAAAATAAAAGGAAAGCAGCATTTTTCTTCTGCCTAGTTAAGTTTCAAAGCTGTATTAAGTCAGTGTTCCATTGTAAACTTTTGAAAGAACAACCGTAATGTCTTGTTCAGAGTTATGAAAGTTTCAGAGTTACGAACAACCTCCATTTCCGAGGTGTTTGTAACTCTGAGGTTCTACTGTATAAATTAAAGGTTTTAATATTTTTTATTTTGAGAGGTATTAGAATATCGACTCTGCTTAATTAATCTAAAAATAATGAGTAAAATGTAAGGAAACCTTGCTATGTATTTCCCTGGCTAACTTTTTTGGTAAAGGTTAAACTGACTGCAGTGATGTTTCAGGAAGTGCTGGGTGTCAAGGCTAGGAGAATGAGTCCTGTTTCTTAGTGTTATGCAGGGCACCAAGCAGTCAAGATTTCTGGGTTGTTATGTGATCTTTGGGAGCCCATAATCTGTGCCTCTACTTCTCCATCTAAAATAGGTGTTTTGAGGCTTAATACTATGTCCAGTTCTGTTCACTCTTTAAAAAAATATGCTGACAAATTGGAGAGAGTTCAGAAAAGAGCTACAAGGATGTTAGAAGCCTGGAAAACCTGTTTTACAGTGAGACTAAAGAAGCTCAATCAATTTAGCTTAACAAAGAGATGGTTAAGAGGTAACTTGTCTTTAAGAGTCTACATGGGGAGAAGGTTTCTGAAAGTAGAGGACTCTTAAATCTACCAGACAAAGGTAAATACTGAGATGCAATGACTGGAAACTGTAGCTAGACAAATCAGACTAGTAGTAATTTTTAACAGTGAAGGTAATTAACAATGGGAACAACTTACCTAGGGAAATGGTTTATTCTCCATCACTTGAAGTCTTTAAAACAAGGCCGGATGTTTTTCTAAAAGGGCTGTTCTAGCTTAAGGCTACGTCTTCACTACCCGCCGATCCGGCGGGTAGCAATCGGTTTATCGGGGATCGACTTACCGCGTCTCGTGAGGACGCGGTAAAATCGATCCCTGATGGCTCTACCGTCGACTCCGGAACTCCACCTCGACAAGAGGCGGTAGCGGAGTCGGCGGCAGCGCGGCAGCGGTCGACTTTCCCGCGTCCTCACCGCCAGGTAAGCCGACCTAAAATACGCAACTTCAGCTACGGTATTCACGTAGCTGAAGTTGCGTATCTTAGGTCGGAAGTCCGCTGTAGTGTAGACCTAGCCTAACTAGTAGGGATGGGCTTGATGCAGGAATCACTGGGTGAAATTCTATGGCCTGTGTTATGCAGGAGGTCAGATTAGGTGATCATAATGGTTCCTTCTGACCTTAAGATCTACTAATGTTTGGAGAGTCTGGAGATCTTCACATAAAAGGTTTATTAGTTATTATATTTCAGGAAAGAGCACACAAGATAATAGGAAAATTGCACAGCAAGACACAACAGTGTTAAATCTCTCACTTGCTAGCATGGTAACTGTGAGATTGTGTCTTGCTATAGTTTTTAAACGTGCAGAAGTCTCAGAGCTGGGCAGTAGGGCGGACAATAAAGAGCTCTCCCAGAGCAGTTTTTAGCACACTGTCTAATTGCTTCTCATGCTAATCCTTCACAAATACTTAGTAACAGGCTGTTGCAGTGATGCAGCAACAGCAAATCCCAATATAGTTAATTATGTAAAGCACTTTGAAGACGAATAGCATTGTATAAGTGCCAGTCTTTTGTTTGTTTGGTTTGTTTTTTCGTTCAAGAATAATTATTGCCTTCCTTTCCTAATCAGTATAGTATAATCAACTCTGGGGGAATTGTGAGTATATAGGGGACTATTGTATGAGAGATCCTGGCTCCGGCATTATGTTTGTATTCCTGTTCCTTAGTGGTTATTGACAGAAAAGCCAGCAGAACTAATCAAAGTGCCATATGGGAGACTGGTTCTCAGCACGCCTTTCTCTAGTGGACCCAGTAGAGATCAGTCATTGGTTGGGCAATGGGCCATGCACATACATAGATGGAGAACAGCATCCTCAGGGGGAAAAAACCCTATGAGCAATAGCAAGAGCCTTAATGGAGTTTATCTTCTATCTCTACTCTCTCCACCCCCACAGTCCCCATCTTTGTGAAAACACCACGCTTAGCTTGCATAGAAGGATGGCCTTGTGGTTAAGGCTCTGGACTGGGGACCCTAGCAATTGTGGCCCTGCCACAGTTCATTTCTCCCTCCCTTTGTCTGTTTAGGGATGCGATGGTCACTTAGTAGGAGTTTGTACAGCACCTAGCACAATGAAACCCCCAAACTCAGTTTGGGCCTCTCTATCATACTGTATAGCTCTA